AGTACCTGTCCATCAGACTCCAATGCATATGCATTGCGAGTTTGGTAGTGATCAATGAAGTTCGCTTCTCTGTATTTCGCTCTACGATGATAATGATGAATAACACAATGCGGTCAGCGTTCATTAAAATGCGCTGATTATTTAATTACTTCTTAATCGTCCGAACATCGAGTGATACTCCTTTGTCAAGATTTTGTGTTAAAATATACTTTAGGAATAAGCGAACATTCATTTTCGCCAATCATCCGCGGTGGGCAAGTTGTACCCTAACGCTCCGTCATCGACCAATGCTACAGCCTTCTGTGCTCATATTTGTTTCCGCTTACCTGTGGATGATATGTTCCTCGACGAATTGGCTCTCCATCTTCATTCCAGTTTGACGTTGAAAAAGCCCGATTACGGAAATATTAATTTTCCCGATTTAGGTTTCTCGTTTTCCGGTCACGACGTGATGTGATTTTCTATTATTATTATTATTACTATTATTATTATTATTATTATTATATTTTTGCTTTTACTTCAAATTGGCATGAAATTCCCGGAACTTTTGTTCCAGTTCTAAGTTTACTCTAGTCAATTATTGCGAACCTTGGTTGAACTGATAACTGCTCATGCATATTCTTGATGGTGTGGTGGCGTGCGTGGTTATTTAAAATGCTGACAAAATCGAGTGCAAAGGCCGTACAAATTTTTTTCTTTGTCAACCGTTTCGATATGTTTCAGATGCTCCCGGATCCTCGGATAAGATTGTCATTCAAAGGATGCCAACCAATTTTTTACTCGATGCTTTTGGTATATGTGTTCACGCGACCATGGACGATTCACCACTATCAACGCACCGCACGTAAGTAAACAAAACACTACGACAAATGAGCCTGGGTTAGCTCAAACGTAGTGCAGCCCGCTCAGCATTGATGCCACCCTGGAGTAATTTTGAAGTTTATAGTACTATAGTCCACCCAGATAAGCTAGGAAACACCGGTCAATGTTACTGACGTTTATAGAATCACCGAGCTTGAACCGGAAACCATCGAGCTGTTGTCTTGGAGCCATACATTCAGTGAGAGATTGTGTTTAACACCCTATATTGAGAATTTCACTTTTACTGCTCATTGGTTTTTATCCTCCGGAAGCCTCAGTATGGTCGGGATGGATGTCCCGGATTGGGAATGGTTACCCTTCTCTTGCTCCTCGCGAAATGCTCTCACACGACCAGGTGTCTCAAATAGCCTTTGCTGAGGACACTCTACTCACTGCCTTCTCGTGTTGCGGAGGTGTTTCCCACCGAATTGAGAGGACGGAAAGCCGCTATTTGAGACTATAACCGGGTTGGTGAACACCACTGGTAGTTTATCTAAGGGAGTTGGCTAAAAATCCTGATTGGAAACCAACAAAGAAGAGTCGTACGAACCACACACCCACCTGCCCTGTTGTGGCAGTGGTCACCCGCTCGATTGGGCATCGAGGTTTAATAGGCACCTTGGACGTTTGACCCGTTCCAAAGGGCGTATGATCCGATGAAATGGATATCGGCTATCAATGGATTACGGACTCGGAACTCCGTTCTGTTGTCTTGCAGGTTTAGCTTTTTAGCCAAAGGATTCGGGTGGGGACCCCGAGGCTATCCTCATTCCTAGGTCAGGGCAACTGGGAAATAACATGCCCACACAAACCTATGAACACAGTCTACAGACTGATTGTTCATATGTTGTGGCACATTTGCCAGTTCTCCGTAGTTGGTTACGTGTTGAAATGAAAGATATCATTACATAACGCAAATCAATGCAGCAACTAATGAACATTCGCGTCAGCTGGAACGGGGATGATTTGGGGAAAAGAAGAAAGTCAAATCAAGTCAAGTCAAGAAGCGGCTTTTATTCTCCCCATAGGGGATGAACATTCAGCTACTACACAATCACTCTTCTTTGGAAATTACATGGTAACAAAGCCTGTGATACGTTACATATACAAAAAGCCAATTTAGCAAAGACTTTGTCTAAGACTTCCAATGACAAGATCAGCGTTGGTAAGAAACCGTGCCAGGTACGGTATT